GATGCATCCGAAGGTGCACCATCTGTAGCTTTAGCAGCAGTTTCCTTCTTGGCCTGCCCAAAAAGTTGGGTTCCAACGGGTTTTTCAGCCTTCAGGGATGCCATGTTGCTTAAAATATCTTAGCAAAAGACACTATAAATTGTTGTGTTTGTTCTTGTCTATACAAGCTATGAAGCACATAATGCCTTTTTATAAGAGTCTAAACTCTAAACCCACTAGGCCACAGTAGCAATTGGAGGAGAACTCGAATCCCAAGTTACAGGTTGATGATGGTGAATTAATGGTGGGGAGTAGATTAGAATGGAATAAATGATTTGGAGATCATCACATCGAACAGTTAAGAATCAGATACTTCTCAATAAATTTTACTGACATCATCTTTGATGAACCATCCAGAAATAGGTATATTTAAGGATATATAATAAAACTGGGCACTAATAACTATTTAATTAGCAATGTTAGACAACTTAATTAAAATGTTTTTTTCTTGAAATTTAATTAAAAAGTTAAAAGCAATAACAACACTAGTAACTAGTAAGTTCTTAATTAAATTAAGGTATTTATTAATAAATTGTCACTTGAGTGTGTGATCGCATAATTTATATGCATTTCACATCAGCAGTAAGAAATTGTTCATATTTAATTTTATGTCACTGGGAATTTTTTTTTTCTTTTTAATAAGTAAAGTTTAAGAGAAAGGATGTTTTCTCATTTTAAAGTCATGGCATGCTATAAGATTCAACGAGGATTTAATGTAGCACTTGCATAAAGCCTATCAATGAAGGACAAGCAATAGAATTGGGAAAAAAAAATAAACTATTACTATTTTAATAAATAATTAGGAACACATAGCTGTTTTAAAACTATCTATGGATCTATTGCACTCATTCACGTCCAAATTATTCACGCCTAATTTAGGCGTGAATCATCTGGTATTGACACGTGGCAAAAAAAAAAGTCAATTTACGAACCGTAAAACTTTGAAAAGTCATAACTTTTGACTCGAGTATCCGAATGAGTTAATTTTTTTTTGATTCCACGTAACTTTTCGAGATTTATGCAATGACATCTCATTTGATATATTTTATCTCTCACAAACACAATTCAAATTTGCAATAATTGTATTATATAGTGTATTACCAAAAAAAATTTTAAAAATTATTATTAATAAGAAAAACAAAATAAAGATTTAATTTGTGATTTAAACTCAAAAATCAATTTGAAAAATCTGTATTAATAAAGAAAATAATTAAATAAATATTCCAAACACTTGGTAGAATATTATATAAATTTGTATATATTTTAATAATTAAAATATTGCTTTTTTAATAAATAATTACGAATAAGTTGCCGTTTTGAACCTAATTACGAATATATTGCACTCATTCACGCCCAATAATGGTACTATAACATTAAATTCAAAATTCAAAATTCAAATAACCTCCAATAAATTGATTGCATTTTGTATTTAATAGAAGTTGATTGTGTTTTGTATTTAATAGGAGCTGATTGCGTATAATTTTATGAGTTGGTTATATATTGTCGCCAATTCAAATAAATTTGCTGGAGGTTATTTGAATTTTAAATTTAATGTTATAGGAGTTGATTGTGTTTTATATTTATTAGGAGCTGATTGCGTTTTGTATTTAATAAAAAATTTGGTGCCATCATATTTATAGATGAGTTAATCCACTTTGGTGCCATCTTTATAGTATCATTGTTGCAAATTTGAATTATGTTTGTGAGAGATAAAATATATCAAATGAGATGTCATTGCGTAGATCTCGAAAATTTATGTGGAATCAAAAAAAGAATTACCTCATTCGGATACCCGAGTCAAAAGTTATGGCCTTATAAAATTTGGGATAGGATATTGTGACACCCAAGTTATGTTACACCCATGTGACACCCAAGTTATGTTACACCCATGTGACACCCAGTCAATCTCACCGTTAGATCGCTTATGTTGATCCAACGGTTATATTTATTTCCATCTTTGTATGGTCATGATTTCCCAAATTTAAAGTGAAAGCATTAAATATGAGAAATCATAACCATACAAAGGTAGAAATAAATATAAAATATTAAATTTGAGAAATCATGACCATACAAAGATGGAAATAAATATAACCGTTGGATCAACATAAGCGACCTAACAGTGAGATTGACTGGGTGTCACGTGGGTGTAACATAACTCGGGTGTCTCAATATCCTATCCCATAAAATTTTACGGTTAAACTATTAATTTTTTGTGCAACGTGTCAACACCAGACGAGTCACACCTAATTTAGGCATGAATGCCTTGAGAGTCACGCCTAACTTAGGCGTGAATAGTCACGCCTAAGTTGGACGTGAATGACTGCAATAAATTCAAAAATAATATCCAAACTACAACCTATTCGTAATTATTTATTAAAATAGTAATATTTTAATTTTTTTGCCAATAGAATTGCTCTATAGTTTTTTTTTTGTCAAGGTTGTTTAGGTTGAACTAATCTCCATTGTAGGCTAGGTTATTTGCACATTTATGACTTACTGAAGAGTGCGATTAACGTGCTTGATGCGTTTTGAAGAGATTTTTTGTATCATTTTCTATCGTGATATAGTTGTTGTTTTTAATGATAAAATATTAATTGTTGGGATAAACATGATATTGTATTATATATGTAATTAATTTATTTCCTCATTGCAGATTAAAAAAAAAAAGTTCCTCATTGATCAAAATTTGTATTAGGTAAACTTAACATAAAACTAAATTAAAAGAATTTTTGATAAGTCGGAGAATATATAGTCGAACATATTGCAAAAATTAATCTATGAACAATTACTAAATTGAAAATAAGCATATTAGCAAGTAAACAATATAATATGTCGCCATGTCGGCTTATGGAGAGATGCTGCAGCATCTGATGCAACCTAAGGCATATTTTGCACATATTACTGGATTCATATTCTAGATATTATTGGATTCCTATTCTACAATATAGTTAGATACTGTCGAGGCATGCATGCTCCATATATGTGCCCTTTATCTGAAGTCTAATGAGTAATTATGTCACCTAAAAATTTAAGTTATTATTAAGGCTGAATTTGAAAAGTGGATAGTGTATGAGAATGGATCCTGTCATATGTTATTTAATATGATAATGTCATTTGAGAGAATTTCAACTATGCAAAGATGAATTGATGACAAGGAAAGAAAGAGAAAATATATTAGAATATAAAAAATCATCGCCGTTGATTCATCTTTATATTGTTAGAATTCTCCTACATGATATAATCATGTTAAATAGCACGAGAGGATCCTCTCTTATAGTGTATAGTGTCATCTACTTATGCTAAGAAATTTTAAAATTAAATACTTACTAAAAAAGTGGGAGCATTAAATATTATTAAAATAATGAGGACGACGAGGATAGAACTCCTAGTCACTTGATCACATATTTTGACATCATAATAATCAATTATCTCAGCTAAAAATTTAAGAGGATAAGGATCATGTTAATGGTTTTAAACTTCTTTAACAAAGGGCTATTGAAGACTGGTATTTTCTTATCCTAACAGCAAGACCTTTATTTTTTCTTTGGTTAATAACAGCTATAGACCTTCAACTTATGGGTTATAGATAATGGGTTCTTTCCCTCGTTACAAAAAGTAAAGGCACATGAAACAGAAAAAAAATTGGTACATGTCATTGTCTGAGAACAAATAAATTAACTGTAGTCCATAACCTTATGTGCATATAGCCTTTATTGTCTGTCTATAGGTGCTCTTTGAACTAACTCCGGGGTCAAAACCAGATAAATCTCACAATATGTATGTGTTATGGACTGGATCAATATCTCAACCATATATCGCATAGGAGATCAGAATCTATCTCAATCATATCACAATAACATAATTCAAGGAGTATTAAGAAATAAGATCTTTATCCCCAACAAATAAGACAGTTATCATATCAGTAAAGGAGATCTAAATCCCAAATCCACAAAGATAATCATTATAAATAAGAGGCTAAAGACCATATGTATACACTTTTAACCTATTTACTATTACTGTCAATACTGTGCACACACCTACGTCTTGGCTATACGCTTATTGCTTATACAGTAATTGGTACATTGGCTCTCCGCCAATAAGATATTTCTCTAACAGATATCTATGAGCGCTACCTTCGTGATATAGATCTACAGTTCATTAGACCGAATAGTATGTATTATTTATGTGCTTATTTATGTTTAGGGAGAAAGCATTTTTTTCTGATCTATGTCTAAGCTAAGTCTGTATCCATTTTGGAAGATGAGATGACCAGATGACTTGTGATTAGGGAGGCCTGAAATTGGATGAATCATTAACTGGTCAAAGATATAAATGAAAACTTTTTTTTGTTTCGCCTATAAATGAGAACTTTATCCGAGCATTTACATAACAGATCAAACTTTGTAAGATGAAGGGTTCCTTGATGTAGTGTCAGAGGCATAACAGAACATATTTCTTTTCTTTTTTTGGAAATAGAAAATATTTCTTTATAAAAATATTCCGTGTTTAAAAACAATAAGAAGTTAAGTCAGTCACAAAGTGATTGCTCTTGAACTACATTTTGAATATGATTAATCAAGTGAGTATTAACTTATTTTTATTTTTCCTATACAAACTTAATTACCTTGACTTTAGTTCAACGTGTACTACCATTTGGTTTCATCAAACCAATCCCACAGAATCGTGATAACTGCTCCAAATTAAACTCAATAAAAACAGGATATGACGTACAGGAATTTTCAATTAATTAGACTAATTTTGCAATTTCACTTCAAAAAAGATAATCACTGAACAAGAGCGCGCTGGTCTGATAGATAAGACAAAATACAAATGCTGAAAGGATATGCATTTACTGGTTAATAATATGTTCTAAGTTCCAACAATAATTATATGTCCAAGAAGATCCAAAAGCACATTTTGATGCCTGAAATAAATCACTGTACTCTTAAGAACTAGAACACTAGATAAAGTGTAACTGGTACAGCTGGTTTTTCTCCGTAAAAAATTTGGACTATATTTCTACAAATTTTGTTTGTTTCATTCATTGCCAATTAATCACCAGGATTTAAGATACTCTCCTTACAATTTGAATCTAATAATCACTTAACCTTAGTCAATGAGGATGCCCCATCCTCAAAGCTAGATATGCAACAATTCTGTATCCAATAAACATTACAGTCAATGCAGCCACATCTCCCCACATATTATCAAGCCTCCCCAGACACTTTATGGCAGGAAAATCCCTTATCCTACAATGCAACCCTGGTCCACACTCGTAGACATCGTTTGCTGAATACTGGACTCCTACCAGAAGCTTATAACAGTAGTGACTGAAAGAAATGTACTTCAACCAAGCTATAAAAGAAGGCATTTGCTGAATGTAGTAACCACCAGCTAACAGAAACACCAGCATGGTCACTGAAGCTAGAGTTGTGGCCTGCTTCACATCCATGAGTATGGCCCCAAGTGCTAGGCCTATTCCTTGAGAGACTAGCACATTGAAAAGCATGATCAAGAGGGTTAACACAAATGTAACTGGTGAAGGCTTGAGACCACCCATCCAATAGGTGATAGTTACAAAGATAGTAGGAAGCACAAGCTCCATTGGTAGGTCCCCAACCATCCTGGCAACATAGTAGGAGGAGAGATGGTACATGCCTGATGATCTTTCTTTTATCAGCATTGGTCTCTCCAGAGGAAATGCAAAGATGGCATTAAAGAGAGGGAAGAACCCCCAGAAGATGGAGAAGAAGAAAAGTAGTCCTACCTGTTACAAGGATTATATTCTTATAAGTACTACAACTATAGGATAAATGTACCACTTTCTACTCAGAGTTTTCGATCCAAATTAACTTTGAGTTGAGTATATAACCCAGCAAAATGGCTAGTACTAGATATTTTGAACTACTCAACCAATCTCCATGCTTTATATGTAGCCATTTATTTATGAATTTTGATACAAAAAAACAGAACATGTGTTCATAATACCTGATCTTGTATGTGTGAAGGATCAGAGTGCCACCAAAGAAGTCCTGACAGAATGGATACAGACAAGACTTGGAAAATCCTTAACGCAGAAAAGGATTCATGCCTCCTCTCTTGTAAACCCCTCTTAAGCAGCACCTTGAATTGCTCCCACCAGCTAGTGTTCCATTGGTTATCTGAACCTACCAAGCATGAATAATGATCATTAAGCCATGGTGTTTTACATAACTCTATTCTTTACTGCTATAAAGGAAAAGTAACATCAAGAGAGCAAGAAAATTTCACTCACGTCTTGGTGTTCCTGATGTTAAAACCCCTGGGTCACTGTTGTGTTGCTGAATCACTTCTTTAAGAGCAGGATATAAGTTCTTCTTATAGGATGAAATTAGGGACTGTTTGACTGAAGCTTGATCCTCATGGTGGTCTATCTGATCATCATGTTTGACATCAGCAACTATGCCTGTAAACCCACAGAACCTAAAGTATTAGAAGGCTCACCAGCATGTTTCTCAAGAAACTCAATGCAAATCTACCAATTTTTTTTGACCAAATATAACAGAAATCCAAGGACAATAATTAACCATCCTTGAAGATGCTTCCACCATCATAATTTCTGTGCTTCAAATATCTGGTGCAATTCTAGGGAATTGAGTTTAATTTCTCATCTGATTTTAAAATTAAAGTCAAATTATCTTCTTCTTTTTTTTTGGAAATACAAGGAAATAAGTCAAATTATCTTTTAAAGTGCCATAACATGGTTAATGACACACTGGGTAAAAACTGAAATGTTATTAGGTTGCTGACTAAAAAGATAGCTACATTTCTGAGAAGGAAAATTGCTCCGCCTAAAACAAGAAAAAGTGCCCCAGCAGAAGGGGTAAGAGAAAAAGAAATGACACTGAAATCGAAAAAAACAAATAAAACTTAAGAAAAACTAGCACTTTTGATTGGAGAAAAAAGCAAATGTTTTTTTTCTTTTTTCTTTTTGTATTTAAAGCAAATGTATTCTACAAGTGTTTATGATGTCTCGTTAGAACTAATGATAGGAAATATATCCAAATGGAAGGCAAGATTTGAAGGTAAATCCAAGGCAAGAAGCACAAAGCACCTCTAATTAATTCCAAACACACACATCTTTCACAAAACTTTATCTGGTCACCATGAGAATTGGACAATTCCAAACACCTTTTACATCTATTACATATAGTTTCTCTAGTGTTGATCTATGCTGACACAAAAGAAAACTCACATGTTCTGTCAAATCTTTTTCAATTTTAGTGCTTCTAATGACCCATTAGCTGTTGACCCATTGAAAAGAAGGTTCATGGGTTGATAGAGAGCCATAAATCTCAATCCTTTGGCACCTCCATTATTCAAATATTGAAAACGAACCCTCACCAAACAATTATCGACAAGTGTAAAAATTATCCCAAACTTTCCTTTCTCATCATAAAAATATGACAACCAATGAGATTTCATTTCAAGGATATATCATACTTTACGCCACTAGAATTCAATTATGCTTCAAATTTGGTCAAATCAAATTACTAACTTACCATTAGCAAGGTCAAGCAGAAAATCTGCCGGGTTCATGAAGTTGAAAGCTGGCACATACCCAATGGATTCAAGATAATCCATGACCCGACCCGAATGCCCACTGTATATCGGGTACCCATCAGACAACACCACCACCTTATCAAACATCCTGTACAACCGGCTTGATGGCTGATGAATGGTGGTCACCACCGTCCGGCCACCCCGGGCGAGACCCCGGAGCACCGACACGATGAGCTGAGCCGTCGTGGAGTCGAGGCCGGAAGTCGGTTCATCCAACAACAACAAACTCGGGTTAACCAACATCTCCTGCCCGATACTGACCCGTTTTCGTTCCCCACCCGAAATGCCACGGAACAAGGCCATGCAGCCACCAACAGGGGTGTTACGACACCGTGTGAGGCCAAGCTCCGTGATGATCCTCTCAGCATGCTCCACTTTCTCTTCTTTGGTGAGAGTCTTTGGAAGCCTCAACAAAGCAGCATAGGTGAGTGTTTCAAGCACTGTGAGGTGAGGGTATAGAACATCATCTTGTGACACAAACCCTATCTTGCGTTTCATGAAACTGGAGTCAGTGTGGCCATTGTATGTTATGCTTCCGGAGACTTTTCCGGCGAGCCTCCCCGCCAGGGCGGTGAGCAGGGTCGTCTTGCCGCTCCCTGAGGGACCCAGCATTGCCGTTAACTCGCCGGGACCCGCTATGCCACTCACGCCGGTGATTATTTTCCTCCTTAGCTTTGGCTCTTTAGGTAAAACACAACCGTTATTTTTGCTTGGGAAGGTTATGTTGTAAGAAACATCTTCAAACTACACCACACAAGAAAGATTATTATATGTAGTTTAACTTTACTCAGTTAAACATAAAAGTTTCAGCAGGTGAGTGAAAATCACACCTTATATCTCTAATATATTATAATTTAGTTTGAAGTATGAATAATATATATATAAGTCTATTTTTTTTATTAGAAAATGAGATGATAAGGATGAAATTTGTGATCACTTACTCACGAGGCTATGAAATTATATAAAACGTCAATTCAACTTGAAAGGTTAAAATGATAAGTGAAAATATATTAAATATTGGAACTGAACAATCACATATATATACAATCACAAATTAGAGAAAAGCGGACACAGATTTATCTTAGTTCACCCACTTAATTTTTTTTTGCGTCCCTCGACAAGAGTCAATTATCTAAATGCAAAGTAATAGCTATATATCCAACATTAACAACTTTATATCGTATATCTTTAACAGCATGCATGATGATTAAAGTAGAAATTTAAATATAAAAAGTGTGAAAAATTAAGGAGAGAGAAGATTGATAAGTACTTTGAGGGTAACAGGACGCAAGGATTGGTGAATAATGGAAAACTTTGCTGGTGACGATGTTGGTTGAGGTTGAGGTTGTGCAGGAATGCCATTATCATCATCATGATCGGAACTGGGTTTAACTTTGTTGGTTGTAGAACCCTCTGGTTCGACGTGGACCGAACTGTTCTCGGTTCGGTTTGTGCTGGCTGGAATGTTTGGTGCAATAGTGGCTTCTTGCTCGGGGGGCATCATCTCAGAGATTGGTGATTCGGATTTGAGGTTTTTGTTGATAACCAAAAAGGAAGATTGAGAAGAATTATTATAACTATGATGATGAGGAAGAGGCTACGGAGCATAAAAATTGAATAAGGGAGAGAAAGAGGAGGTTGAAGGTGAAGGGAGAAGAAGAGAGTCACATGAAAGAACAGGTATAAAAGTGAAGAAGGCACGAGAAGCACATAAAGATGTGATTGAATGATAGCAATATATAGTCTTAAGAAGAGAGACTAACATCTGCTGCTAACTGTTTTGGTGTTGCTGTCACTACTGTTTGTTTGCTGTTGAATGATGTAATTATTGGCTGTGCTCAAATAAGATCACGAGAATAACACTGAAGAAGCATGTGTTTTGGTTTGGGGGCTATTTTTCTTTGATGGGATCTTTTATTGTAGGAAATAAAATTATCTTATATATAAATATAAATAGGACATATATTATTTTTTTCTCTCTTCTTTCCTAGGACTCCACATAAGATTTATACTGACTTTTATATATGAGAAATTATACTCTTATGCTACATAAGAGTCTTATCTCATTTTACACTCACATAAAAAGACGTGCCTCTTTTTTCTTTCTTTTTTCTTTTTTTAAAAATTGATATATATATAGTAAAACCCTTTATATATATATATATATATATATAAAAAAAATAATTTTATCTTCTACAATGAAAAATATTTTTCCTTTTTACTTTAAAGGAGAAATGTATTGTTGGTGGGTATAACGATATTGCATCGAACGTAGCCACGTGTATGGAGGGCATTTGATTCATTCCTTATCTTTTTGTGAAAAAAGTAATGGAGATTTTTATAGGGGTTTGTAATAATGGTAATAATCAAAACATGTTATTGGGGACCCAATATAGATTTCATGATATCCACTTGTCCTCAAAGTATGAGAATGCATGATGCCTTTTCTTTCAATCTATTATTGTATTAGTTTTTGACTTTATAGTAAACCATTACTGGGAATCATATATAAAACTACCATCTATATATAGTTACCGTAGAATATGTCTTGATTAATTAGTGGAAGAGGCAAGGAGGAGTTAGAGGGATGATCACCCCCTCAAGTTCATTAATTATTTGTCTTAGATTCTTAAAAAAAGGTAATATAACATAAGTAGTACTTCACCCTTTCTGTTTTTATTACTCCCTAACGAAAAAATTTAGAGTGTTCTTCAAATTTAACTATGTATCGATGATTAATTCTCTTTTGAGGAGACTGCTAATGAAAAAATTTCAAATAGGCATCTTAATATTAAACTTCTTCTTATTAGATTACAAAATGTGATGATCTTCCTCATTATGTAACCAATTTTAGTCCGTGGGCAAGTACTTTATTGTGGATATGGCTACCCGAAAATCTAGATTAAAAATCGAAAAGTGAAAACTTTATATATATATATATATATATATATATATATATATATATATATATATATATAGAGGTAGGATCCTTTGACACCGGTGTCAAATTTCAATTTTGACACCTCATCAGAGAGCTGTTAGATCAAAAAAGATCAATGGTGTCACATGCTTGCAAATCAGAGTCGTTGATATTTTTTTATCGAACGGCTCTTAGATGAGATGTCAAAATTGAAATTTGACACCAGTGTCAAAGGATCCTACCTCATATATATATATATATATATATATATATATATATATATATATATATATATATATATATATATATGCAATTGCTTGAGAAGAAAGCAAGCGAACTAAAAATACACAGGACATTAATTATCTGCAATATTGTGAAAAACATGCAATTTGAGATGAACAAAAATAATGTCATGTTTTATTTAAAAAAGAAGAAGGAAGGTATTTATAATTTTTTAAATAAAAAAGAATGTCGTCGAAGATGTAAGAACAAAATATATAAAATAATGAAAGCAAGTGTGATTTCTTAAATAAAAAGAATGTTACAAATGTGATTCTCATTATATACATCTTTGAAGAGAGGCAAAGAGATTTAACTGTAACACTAAGTCTCAACTCGAGATTAATCCTATAAAAAAGCTTGTAGGAATATTCGAGAATGACTCACCTTAAAGAGATAATTAGGATCGATATACCAAAAAGAAAAATACTATAAATTTTATAGGAGGTTAGTGTAATTATTTAAAATAATCTTCAATTCCCGCGCGATCTTTTTTTTTTTTTTTCCATTTCTAACCAAACATTAACCGATGAAACTTGAAATAATCTTATCCCTTATATTTTAGCTCTCTACTTTTTTATTTCTTCCATCAAAACCAAACAACATGCTACCACTAAATAAAATATTTTTCGAAAAGAAAAAAGAATGTAATATACAATCCTATTAGCTAGAAGATCTCACGTAGGAAACCCCTGTTTTTCCCGAAAGACATGAAAATTCTTTCATATAGGTAGGAGAGTCACAAAAAAAAAACAGTACAACTCTAAAAAAGTCATCACACTATGGCTCAATTTCCTTGGACTCTCTTTATAGGGTATCTGTTTTTCCAGGGTGTGCTTGAGAAAAAAGTATAAGAAAGCATGGTTCCCCCAATAACTTTCTAAGTGTCAAGTACCCATTCATCCATAGTAAGTAGTGGCTGAGATTGGTGTCGTCTTTCTATTAAAAGGCATTGTTTGCAGTATGGAGTCATTATCACTGAAAGAGAGCTTCTTTCGTAAACCTTTTTTCTTTGAATTTACGAGTTTTTTTTTTTTTGGTTGCTATAATAATGTAATTATATTAGCCACTCTACACTAGAGAAAAAATAAATCTTATGCACAGTTCTGAATTTTTTTTTCAATAGAATATAGTTTTTGAAATATGAATAGTTTACAAAATTTTAGAATTATTCCATAAAATGTTTACATACACACATATATATATATATATATATATATATATATATTCCGTAAAATATGAAATTAATTAAGGTTGGGATTTCAAATTGTTGTTTAATTGAAGGGTGGGGAGGGGAACCTGAAAGGACGAATAATATATTCAAAAACACATGAAGATATTCTCATTATTCGGTAAATATGTTCCTCCTGATAGTTGGTGACTGATTACTACAAGCAAGCTTAAGACAATTTGAAATGAGATAAAACATTCTAAAACCCTTTCGACCAAATATTCAAATTATATCTTGTCGTTACGTGTTCAATTATAGTAGGTTTGATGTTATAAAGGATTAAAACATTACTTACAAGAATTTATCAAAAAAAAAAAAACTACCTACAAGTAAGAGACAAAGAGAGAAGACAGTGCTTAGAAGCATCTCTTTCCTAATTGAGAAGGTAATTTGTTTATTTATTTTTAATATTATTCATCTGTTTATGAATTATTTGATTAGTTCGATTCGAATAGAGTAGGATTACATGGACAACAAAATTATCTATTAAATTCTTAATACAGTTATGTTCCTAAGAATTCCAATTCGATATCTCTAATTATGCTAAAACAATCCCTTATCAATTGATCTATGTGTTTGATGATGAGAATGAAATTTATAATCTTTCTTTTCTTAGAAGTATTAATTTGTGGAAATGTAAAATTCATTAATTTTTATGGTTAATTGCATGTTGTAATTTTAATTTTAGTTAAGGCAAATTCCAATGTGCTCTTAACTTTCAATTTGGGCTTCTAACCTAGATTTGAGGTAACTTAACGGTGGAAAGTAACATCTCAATGTGGTGTTTTAAGTCAAATCGTTCAGGCTCTAAACACATTATCTAGGATATAATTTTAACAACTGTCTTTTATACATATAAATATGAAAATTAATTTTGAGATTCAATTTAATTTGCTTCTCATTCAATCTTTTCCCCCAAAGAAATTGCGTCCCCCAAAAAAATTCATATGCTATTGCTGCAGAAGAGACGAACCCATAAATAAATCATGTTATCCATTATCAATAAATTAGACACCCACAAAGTTATATATGTCCTTTCATTCTTTTTATAGCTAAAATTGTTGGAAATTTAAAGAGATTAAGAATAATTTAGAAGAACACACTACAATTTTTTAATCTAATCACGTGTTTGGTAGGAGGTGAAAAAAAATTTCCTAAGAAAATGGGGATGGAAAATTATTTGCCTATGTTTGGTAGGAGGTGAAGTAAAAATATGGCTAGGAAATTTTTTTCCATCATTTGTTTTTCTATGTAAAATAGCTGGGGAAGATTACTACTGAAGAGTGTTTCAAGATTGAGTCACACGTCCCCTTCAATGAAAATGCTTGTGCTTCCTCTTCAGTTGTCTTCTCTTGCAATTGCAAGCTGAACAATTTTTAGAAGTTTGATTTGAGCCGTTGAGGTTTTGTGCTTCCTCTTCACGCTCACTCATGTCAGTAATTTATCCACTCACACATATTTTGTAATATTATTAAAATAACATTTATATATATAATTTTTTCCAATCAAATTTTAGGGGGGGGGCCCACCCTAGCCCCCCTTAGGTCCGCCTCTGTGAGGAGGATCGCCTTATTAATGTTAGGAACGCAGCTCACCATGTCACGAGGATGATGAGGCCTTTCCTTTAGGCTACCTAGGCTCCCCTTAGAGTGTAGTTAAACTTGGTCCGATTGATCGTAGTCTCTTGACATTACAGGAGAAACATGTATCCATGTGCGTGTGGAATGATGATGAGGATCGCTTTATTAATGTTAGGCACACAACCATGCACGATCATTTGAATATTCCTGAGCAGATCCAACCTTATTTGAGGTAGGTTGGTTTCCTACATATCGTGCGGCTGAGAAACCACGAGATTAGTGTACACATATTTCTCATTGTGTTTTTTTATATTAATTGTAATTATTTTATAACATGACCAGCTAAATTCCTTCATATTGACCACGCACTCAATACTGCCCTTGTAGAGCATTGGCGGCTAGAGACGCAGACGTTTCACATACCGATGGGTGAGGTCACCATTACCTTAGAGGATGCTTATTTTTCATTTGTTGGGCATTGTGCCATAGAGCCG